CTAGCCTACCCCCACCCCCACCCCAGGCCTTCACCACCCTATTGTCTGTGTCCATGAGTTATGCATATATGCATACAAGTTTTGGGGAGATTTCTTCCCACCCATCCACCCACCCCCAGCTTCCCACTGAGATGTGACAGTCTTGAACACATTTTGAATGTGTTAAGAAACTAAGCCAGGCCCTCCCTGGTTTGGCTCAGTGGATAGAGTGTTGGCCTGCGGACTGAAGGGTCCCAGGTTTGATTCCAGTCAAGGGCACCTGCCCAGGTTTCTGGCTCAATCCCCAGTGTGGGGCATGCAGGAGGCAGCCAGCCAATCAATGGTTCTCTCTCATCATTATGTTTCTATCTCTCTCTCTCCCGTCCTCTCTGAAATCAATAAAAATCTTTTTTTAAAAAAGAAACTGAGCCACACAAAGTGTCCTGTGAGCCTATTTTTCTTTTGAACGTCACTGGAACTAAATTTCTGATTTTCATACAATCCATACAGTCAGGCCCCATGTTTCAAGTTCACTAGAATATTATCTCATAATAGTTCCATTGTAGAGTTTAAACTAAGATGTAGTTGATTTAAATGATTAGTCAAAAAAACGCAAGAATCAATTTTTTACTAAAACAAATATTCCTGATTTTTTTTTACATCCTATATTGATAAAACCAGGCTCCAAACTACTTTTCCAGTGTTATCTTCCATGATTCCTCATCCCGCCCCAGGCTCCAGCCACTGCGAGGAGGAGACGTCTCCTCACCTGTCTCATGCTTCTCCACCCTTTCTGCTCAGCTGGCATAGTTGTCCTGTAATAGCCAACTATCTAATCCAGCCTTCAGCAGTCAGATTGGATGCCTTCCGGGCACCCTCCTGGCATGCCTTCCCGTACCTCTAATCGGGGTCAATCTCACCTGCTGTGAACTCTTAGAATTTTTCCCTTTTTTCCTGATGCACTCGTTGATTTAAGAACTATGTTATATGCTGCCCGGCCGGTGTGGCAATGGTTGTGTCGACCTATATGAACCAGGAGGTTAAGGTTTGATTCCTGGTCAAGGGCACATGCCCAGGGTTGCGGGCTCAATCCCCAGTGTGGGGCATGCAAGGGGCAGCCAATCAATGATTCTCTCTCATCATTGATGTTTCTATCTCTCTCTCCCTCTCCCTTCCTCTCTGAAGTCAATAAAAATACATTTTTTTTAAAAAAAGAACTATGTAATATGCTAAAATAACTTTTTAAAGTCAGCAATTTTAAATGATGTTAGGAGCATAAATCAATGTCTCCTTTACAGATCTATTATTAAATTCCTAAGAGCCTAAAAGTCGCTGAAGGGCTATTGTAAGTAAGATGCTATTATAATTTTTTCATCTTTTTCACAAAGGTACAGAAATATTCCAATTTAAAGATTTTATTCTTTACGTTTTCATAATTAATGCATGCATTAAATAGACTTTGATTTTTTTACTAATGTTTTTTAAGCCCAGAGCCAAATCCTAATGACTCTTTCTTAACATGTCAGCAGGAATATATAAATTCTAGGCTTAAAACAATTAACGTGTTGAATTTACAGGGGCACAGCACTTAATCAAAGGGAAAATATACTATGCCTTGGTCATTATCTACTTTTTCACTGTCTCCGAGTTGATACTCATTAGCTCTGAGCAAGGGCCATCCATGTCTGTGTAGTTCACCTTTATTTCAACACTGTCTAGCAATACTCCTGGCCCCTTGCTGCTTTTGTTAAATAAATGAGTGAAAATAAATATAAAGCAAGTACAAAAAGACAGGAAACAAATCTTCCCTGAAACCTCGCCTTACTGGGTCATTGGAAATCTAAAATGATATAATGTATTTAGAGATTAAACGATAAAAAACAGAACTTATTTTAAACATTTTCAACAAAAATTGTAATGTTCTACATGTTTCTTTTATTATTATTATTATTGACTAGAGACCCGGTACACGAATTCAAGCACAGGTGGGGTCCCTTGGCCTGGCCGGCGATTGGGGCCGATTGGGGGGACTGGCCAGCTGGGGTGACAGGCCGTGGCAGGTTGGCCAGCCAGAAGGGAGGAGGGACCATGGGAGGTTGGCCGGTCAGCTGTGGGAGGTTGGCTGTTGGAGCGCACTGACCACCAGGGGGCAGCTCCTGTGTTGAGTGTCTGCCCCTGGTGGTCAGTGCGTGTCATAGCAACCGGTTGACTGGTCGTTCGGTCGCTCAGGCTTTTATCTCTCTATATAAAACCCTAATTTACAAATAGACTGAACAGCGGAACAACCGAACAAAAGGTGCTATGATGTGTGCTGACCACCAGGGGCACACGTGGAACATGGCGGGCATTGGCAGCAGATGGCAGAGCGTGGAACATGGTGGGCATTGGCCACGGCAGGATGATGGAGGAGGTGAGCGGGGGCGCCAGACCAAGGTGGGGCACCAGTCACTGTCATCAGGGCGAGCCTCTGGTGGTTACTGAAAATTCTTTGTTCCTGCGCACCGCAGTCCCGCCCGGTACTCACACCTGCTGCTGGTCCCAATTGCTTGGTGCCGTCAGATGGTGCGAGTGGCGGCTGCTGGCCCTGATCACCCCTGAGGGCTTCTCCATCGCCCCCTGCTCCTAAGGGGCGATCAGGGCAGCAGCCGCCACTTGCACCCACCGCTGGTGCTGGTCCTAATTGCTCCACACCATCAGCAGGTGCGAGTGGGGCCGGCGCTGACAGCTGGCTTGGTATCTTTACTTTTATCAATAGATATTGTCGTGTTCATGTGACATTTATAAGGCTCCATGAACTAGAACTTGCTTTCTGAAAATCACCGTCTTTTGGAGGCCTTTTTTTCCTTTCATAAAAATTAAGTGAAGCACAGTACACCTATAGGCCCATCAGAGAAGTGCGAACGGGCTGCCTTCCTTCATGACTGTTAAGTGAGACTTGGTCTTCTTACCCTAGAACAGTGATGGCGAACCTATGACACGCGTGTCAGAGGTGACACGCGAACTCATTTTTTTGGTTGATTTTTCTTTGTTAAATGGCATTTAAATATATAAAATAAATATCAAAAATATAAGTCTTTGTTTTACTATGGTTGCAAATATCAAAAAATTCCTGTATGTGACACGGCACCAGAGTTAAGTTAGGGTGTTTCAAAATGCTGACACGCCGAGCTCAAAAGGTTCGCCATCACTGCCCTAGAAAGTGAGAAGTTAGTCATGAGCTGCAGAAGGATGTTCTGGTCAATGACAGACCAAATATAAGACAGTGGTCCCATAAGATTAGGAGCTAAACTTCCCTTTGGCTTAGTGATGGGGTAGTGCAACACATTACCACGTGTTTGTGGTGCTGCTGCTGGAAACGAACCTGCGGTGCTGCCAGTGGTATAAAAGCACAGCACACACAATTACGTACAGTACCTAGGGCTAGAGCAGGGTGGGCAAACTTTTTGACTTGAGGGCCACAATGGGTTCTTAAACTGGACCGGAGGGCCGCAACAAAAGCATGGATGGAGTGTTTGTGTGAACTAATATAAATTCAAAGTTAACATCATTACATAAAAGGGTACGGTCTTTTTTTTTTTTAGTTTTATTCATTTCAAATGGGCCGGATCCGGCCCACGGGCCGTAGGTTGCCCACGGCTGGGCTAGATAATGAACAACTCTGATGCTGGTTTATGTATTTACTATACTTTCTACCATTATTTCAGAGTGGGCTCTTTCTACTTATTAGAAACTGTTTGCTGAAAAGCTGTAGCCGTTTCATGCTGGCAGCAGCCCCATACATGTGTGCTTTTAAAAAGTTGATGCACTGGTTGATGGATTTGTGCGTGTGAGAGAGAGACATCAATTTGTTGCTCCGCCTGCATTGCATCCTTGCCTCTTGGGGCTGATTTAATTTGTGTAGTTTTGTACAGTCACCTGCTGAACAGGCCTGTAGCCTGGGATCCGTAGGCTTCACCATGGAGCCTGGGTGTGCAGTAGGCTGTTCCACCTAGGTTTGCGTACATGCGCTCTATGGTGGTCACACAATGATGAAATCCTCGAACGGTGCATTTCTCAGAAGGTGTCCCCCTATGTAAGCCGTGCGGGGCCGTACTAGAAGCCAACCCAGAAGCCCTGAGAGCAGACCTCCCTCCCCTGTAGAGCAGCCCTATCCGACAGAAGTGTACTGTGATTTTAAACTTTCCATAACATTCTCGTTTCAGCGTGCAATCAATATAAAATGAAACCGTGAACGCTCTTTCCTGTTCATACTACGTCTTAGAAACCCGGTGCACATTTTGCTCTTAGATCAGACCTGGACCTGGACCGGCCACATTTCAGGCGGCCACTGGCGACTACCAGGGCCAACTGCAGAGAAAAGCCCGCCCTGCGCCCAAGTGACCTGCACGGCTGTCCACCTGCCCCTCCTACGCGACCTCGTTGGTACCCCCGGTTCCGTTCACCTGGTGGGAAGGCCTTTCACTGATTCAAGAAACCGCCCTCCCGCTGCAGGCCCGGCTCTCCCGAGGTCTCCTTACTGCGTGGAAGACAAAATCCCAGGCATGAGTGACGTTAAAGTGTACACCGTAAAGAGAGACCCTGGACAGTATTAGAGCTCAATAACACGTTCACTCATCACTCATCGGGCCCACGTTTCATATGGAGTAACGACTCGGTTCCACGATTGAAAAGAAAAAAAAAAAGAAGCATTTATTGTGACACGGGTTGTACAGGATAAGCCCTCTAACCTTCCCTGTTTCCCAGGGGTGGGCTGACCGCGTTTCCAGGAGCTCAGGGTGATTGAGACCCACCCTGCAGGCTGTCTCAGTGCCCAGCTGGAGCGAGCGCCCCCGGCCCACCCGCGGGGCATTGGCCACGCGCGGCCTGAGCCCGCAGGGGTCAGCCAGCCCCGCCCCCCCAAGCCCTGCGCACCCCGCCCGCAGGCGGCCGTCCCACCCCCAGCCCCTTCCCACCAGGCTATCCCGCAGGGGCCCTTCACCCAGGGCGAGCCAGCGAGGAGCCCGGGGTGCACAGGCGCCCCGCCGCCACCCCGCGGCGCTTGTCCAGTGGCCGCCGGGAGAAACCCTGTCCGCCTCCGCCCCGTGACCCCGGGGCCTCTCAACGCGCGGCCCCGACCCTGGGCTGACCCGTTCGCGACTCTCCTGCCAATCAAATACGGTTTTCCTCCAGCCGACCAATCACCGCGCGCGGTGTACTCTTCGGCTCTTCGGCCCTTCGGCTCGTCGCCCTTCGCCTCTTCGGCCCTTCGGCTCGTCGGAGTTCATCGTTGCTGGGCCTTCCCCGGCCTTCTGCTTGCGCCAAAGCGTAGTTCTCGTTGGTTTAAGTTCCCTTTTTTTTTTTTTCCCCAGACACTTCCGGGTCCTGCGTCGCCCCGGAAGCCCGCGAGTTCCGGAAGCCCGGGTACCCAGGTTCGGCTGGGAAAAGCCAAGCTTCCTAGAGAACGTTTCAGAGAGAGTCCCGCGGAGCGGGGCGTGTCGCCGACTCCCAAGGTCAGTGTCCGCCGAGGGGCCGCAGTGCAGCCCGAGGTCAGCGGGCAGCCGAGGGCGTCAGCTTCCCCCCGTGTCCTGGCCGCCCTTGGCTGGAGTCCCCAGGTCACTGGCTTCCCGGAGGAGGCAAATCCGAGTGTGATTTGGGGAAAGGCAAGAAGCAAACCTGAATCCGAGAATGAGGGTGAGGGCCGCGCCCTGAGGAGGGGAAAGACCGCCAGCCCGAGGTCGGCGCGTCCCGCGGGGACTTCGGACGAACTTCCGAGTTTCTGCCCGCGCTCGGCGGCGCGGCGCGGTCCTGCCTCTGAGCCGAGCGGGTTGTGGACAGGCAGCGCCCACGCCGCGCTTCTTAGCTCGACGGTTCATGCAAAGTGTTGCATTGGGTCCCGAAAAAGAAAAAAAAAAAGTGTGCTGAAGTTTCCAACCTTTGTGAAAGCCGATGCACTTACAAGCAGTTTTAATTTTCTTGTGGAGGAAGAGTTCCTGGGAATGTTCCAGTAGAATTACTTGCGATGAGTTTGTTCTGTTTAATATTTATTTCTGATAAGAAGTAATGAGCATCGTTAGCATTTTTCTTCCGGGGCCTGAAGTTAAAAGTTATCGTTTGTTCATTTCTTTAGGTTCCATTTTCCAAAAATACAACATTTTGTGAATGAAAGTTTTTTTTTTGTTCGTTGTTTTTTTGGGGGTTTTTTTGCAGAATAAGACTAATTGTTGAACGTTCAGGTCTTACATGTCCTAGTTAATATTCCATGATGGCCTTTTTTTACCTTATTTTTTTACCTTAATTTAAATCCAGCTCGGCCAGCGTGGCTCAGTGGTTGAGCATGGACCTATGGACCAGGCCATCGGGGTTTGATTCCTGGTCAGGGCACATGGCGGGGGTACGGCCTCCGTCCCCAATGTGGGGCATGCAGGAGGCAGCTGATTGATGATTCTCATCATTGATGTTTGTTTCTCTCTCCCTCTCCCTTTCTCTCTGAAATCAATAAAAGTAATTTTTAAAGCAAATAAAAATAAAAGCAATTATGGGGAGACTGAGGCTCCATCCACACCACCGTTTGTAGCCTAGACACCTTCCCCTAATGTGTTTACCTTTAGTTAAACCTGAACAGAATAAACGTGGGGTGGCCGACTGTGCATTTTTCTCTTTCACTTTATATCCTCTCTGATTTCACCCGTGTTATCAATTACTGTATCTAGAAAAATTAGAGTTGTATGTGCTTGAGACAGAAGCAGATTTGAAAGAAGAGTCAAAGGAAATAATTTCTTCTGTTTATTTTTCTTTTTTAAAAAAAGGGGTGTGAGGGTTGGATAGAAGTAACACGAGGCAGTAAAGAGAATGCTACACTAAGTCAAGAAAATTGAGTTCCAGACCTGACGGGTTTTCTTATGACCTGCTCTACCTCTTGGCCTTCTTCTCCCCATTTTTAGGAATAAGGGGTGGCACTCCACCTGTGGTTTTATAGCTTTCATAGAAGAACTGTAGAAATTGCTTGGAGCTTTCTGGGGAGACACAAAGCAAGCAGACCCTCCCCAGCTATTTTATATATTTTGCTCGAAAAACAGGGTTTCTGTTAAGAAAATTAAATTCATATCTTAGACTAGATGACCTGTATTCCCTTCTAGCATTTAAATTCTCTTTCTTAGGGTAGTATTCATTTGTGTTCCATGTGCATTTAGGTGTTAGTTTTTTTGATAAGAGATATATGTTCACAGTTAATTCATTACCAAAAGCCATAAACATGTCCATATTCAATCTCGTTTGTTTAATAGATACAGATTTCAAGTTTAATTCTTTATGATCAGAATCACAATTCTTTATTTTTTTTCTTTCTTCCCCCTACCCTCTTATGCTAGCCATAAAAGTTTCACTTATACTCGAAGCTTGTAATCATCTTTGCAGTAGGAACGCCGGTACTTTGCATTTGACGTGTTTGGCGGCTGAGCCTTACAGATGTTAGCAGTCTCGCCCAGCCTCGCCGTGCGCAGGGTCCTGCAGCACAGGGACATGTATGCCATATGCACAGTCTTTGTTTCTGGACAGAAGTTCTGCTCGGAATCACTGGCTCCCCTTTGATTACCTGGGCTGGGCAGCCTAGAAGCACATTGGCCGTTCCCTTTATCTCTTTCTGTGAAACGACAGCAGCTTCTAAACATCCCATGTTCCTCTTCAGTTCCTTCAGGCTGTGGAAGAACCCTCCGGAGGGGAGCCCTGGCTGCTCCTCCTGCCCCCGGGCCTGTAATCTTGGTGCAAATGCCAGAGCTGTGATTCCTATAGGAGCTAGAGGCGGGAGAGGAGCGGACGGCCTCCTCTGTCCTTCCCTTTTGACTCTTCTTTCAAATCTGCTTCTGTCTCAAGCACATACAAGAAGGGTTGACCACTTCTTCCAACCCTTCCCATCTACACAACCAACTGCCCGTTCCTGTTTTTGTTCTCTTCAGTAGGTGTTCTTTTTATCAGAGCGCCCTTCTTACCTGCCTGTCAGTAAGGTGAGATACGTTTCATCCATGTGTCTTTTTTTTCTTCTCACTGTTAAAACATAAAAACCAAGAGCTCTAGCGTCACTCTGTTTTGATTACGCACAACCATCCCCTCGCAGTGGTAGGTGAGTTGGCCGCGCCTCTGCTTTGGGCAGAGTGTGTGTTCACAGGCACTAAACGAATGTTCGCGCCTCGTGTCTGTGCAGATGTACGGTGAGTCTCTTTGAACGGGTCTCGGACCACACGTGTAGGAGTAGAGAGAGGGGATGTGGATGGCACGCATCCCAGGCAACTTGGGTAGCTCGACCATGTTCTGTCGTTTCTCTCCCCATCCACAGTCCTGGGAGTGACTGGCAGTCGGGCCTTGGGAGAAGGAATTGTGCTTTGAGTTTTGCGGTATTGAATTTGATCCAAGCTTACCCAATACCCACGAACTTACCACTAACCTTCCTTTTGTGTGTTCCGTACTTTCTCTAGTGTTTACCAGAAATTTACTAATTGCCAGCTTGGCCTGACACAGGTGAGTTCATCTCCTCAAGGCTTAATTTTGGTCTTTGTGAAATGGACACGATGATCTTTACTTTTATGAAAATTCAGGGAGGTAAAGCATGCCAAGAAAACCCTATGCGTCCTTCGGTACGTGCTCCTGTTGCGTTGCAAACACCTCTGTTCCCGTGTGGATAGTCCACATTCTCTCCGGGGCCATGAAATGTGCAATGGAATGTGTATTCCAAAAATTTTACGTCATTTCGAATTCTCTTCTTAGGCAATTAGATCCTCGAGCCCTTTTCCACATGCATGGAGTACTGAAGATCTGGTTGCTTCATGCTTCATGAGGCAGGTTTGCTCATCCTTGCGTTGGCATTTTCCCTGTAGTTAGTGCCTGTGCTCTTGATCTCGAAGTCCTCAGCCTCTTAAAACAGCCCCATCTGCATGCCCAATGGCGCCATCCTCAAGTGCCCAGGTTCACCTTTCTGGCTGTCACTGTTCTGCACGCCCATCACCACTTGTCAGTGTAGTACATTGGTTCAGAATGTGGCTGAGTTATTTCTAGCTGTGTGATTTCTCACTGGTCAGCTAATCTCTGTGCCTCCGTTTCCTTGTTTAAAACAGAAATAATGAAAGAAGCTCTTTCATCCTAGTGGAAGGACTAAATGACTTGCTACTTGATTTTGCAAAGGGCTCTTCGCTACTGTAGTCACTGTCCGCCTTCAGTCCTGGTAAGTGGTGCGTGTTTGCTGCAGCTGTAAACTCATGAGCTGATGGAATTTCGTTGCGTCTTGTTTTGCTGTTTCGTCCACGAGGATTGTTTCTCTGTCTCGCGTCTTCTGTTCTGATTTCTCCACTCGCGCTAGCCTTTTCCAGACTTGTGTTCAGCATTACCATTTCTGCAGTTGGAAAGGACTGTTCTTTTATTCTTTCTCTTCCTCCCCCAGGGTTTACTAGTAGTTCCTATAAGCATCCTAGGTAGGTGAAATTTCTATAGTTGCTGACTTTTTTAACTGCTGAAAAGTGCCGTGTGGTATAATGACTTGTCCAGGGTCACACAGCCTGAGGGCGGACCTGGGCTGGACTGTAGAAATGGTTAGAATCCCCCATATTCACTCAAACATCTGTTCTCTGTTTTCATACTGTGCTTTCTCTCTTTAAGACTCAGAAGCATCAACTTTCTGAAGAAAAGATTATGAGTCCCATGCGCTTCTCTTAAAAAATGTCTTTGTGAAGCTGGCCTCAAGGTATTGGGAATTCTGTTTTAAGGTTTTAAAAAAGTATTTTGTGTTGGTTTTAGATACTTGGATAAATATACCGGAAATGAAATAGGTAAGGTGCTCAGCTCTGTAACACTGATTATCATCTTGAAGACTGTAGTATTTGGGTTGAGTCCCTTCTCTCCAAATAAAGAAGAAAAAAAAGACATATATATATATATATATATATATATATATATATATATATATATATATATATATCCCCTCTGCTAGAACAAAGTGCTTATCATTGTTCGTTTGTTTGAGAAATTTGTAATATTTTGAAGTTTTCCTTCAAATGTATTTTAAAAACATTTTGTTGTGTACCCATTACCACCCCCCCAAAAAAATTCTTTTATTTGGATTTTGTTGACGATTGCCTTTAAGTTAAAAGTAACCTAGAGGACTGGTGTCCATAACAGAATGTTTTAAATCCTTCATGTCTTGTCTGTACTCAAAGCAGCGCAGTTGGGGTATCTGTAAACCCCTGAAACGGGGCTTACACTTGATGAAAGAGAGCAGCGGAAGGGTAGTGACAGTCAGTTAGCAGGTCTGTGGCCGAAGTGGGATTTGAACTTTCTGACGGGGACTTCTCGGCCTGTTCACAGCGTGGGGGGTCACGGTGTTCTAATGGCCTCGGCCACAGCTTTTTCTCTCCTGCTCCTGTTTGAAATGTGTTCTGGGAATCGGTGTCCTGTTGAATCCCTCTTTGATGCACGTCCCATTTATTAGTATTGATCTCAATACAATGTACAGTAAATCTGCCTGACCACACAAAGGAAATACTAGGGAGGAAGTTCAAAGCTTAAAATCCCCATTTTAAGAACTTTATTCACATAAGCTCATAATGCAAAATGTTAGTTTAAAATTTTTTTAAACCCTAAAAGGAAAAAAAAAAAAAAAGAAGAATCGCACTCATCCAGTTTGATTGCTAGAACCCTTAGGAGAGTGGCAGCAACATTATCATGTGGAACATTAGTTGACGATTGTGGACCCGGAAAAGGTTTGGGGTGGGGGGAGGCGATGGGTGGGTTTGATACCTGAGAGATTACTTGGGAGGGAGTCACGTGTTTCTGCTGACAGAGTTTACAGGACTGTAAATTTCAGTGTAGTTTTGTAGGCAGCATGCATTGACAAATATGCCTAATGGTAATACATCTAGCACTGAGTCTTGAAGCAGGTCAATAATAGTGTGTGCGTGTATTGATAGCAGCAATGTAGGAGATGTTACTAGGTATTATAGCTAAAAATCCATGTCATCCCCTTAATCATAATTACATTAATATTGACAGGCCCTTGACAATACCCACATTATTATTGATAGATTTCTGTCAATAACATGGTTTTAAATAAAATATATTCATTCATAATTTGTCCTCGACTCAATAAAAGCTCTGAAATACATCCTGAAACATGCTTCTCTCTTTAGTGAGATAGAATCGTTTGTGTTGGTCTTAGAATGCGAAATAGATGGCAAAGTTTTATTTTAGGGAATGAAAAGCGTAAAAGGAAAGCCTGAGTTATTTAAGGGATAAGGTTATGTATCGCTGCTCTTAGTAAACGAATTTCAGGGTTTTTTCTGTGAAAGAAAGTCAGTGTGGCGTGTCTAGTGACAAAATGTCAGCAGGAGACCTTCTTGGTAGTTTTTAGTGCTGGATTATTTTGTCTTAAACATATTTATGTGACAAGTTAATCACGCCTAACCCTGGTAGTTGCTGTGCTTTTTATCTTTCCTTGATTTTGCCTTAAACATCGTTTTCACATACCCTATCCTTCACTAAACACTAATATTACTTAGTGCCAATTATACTTTTAATTATTTTTATAAGTCTCTTTGCTTGGTCATAAATGTTTTCCCTTGCATTAGCCTTTTATATTCTTAAATTTAGTATAGTTTGGGGAGTGGGAAGGAAGGAGGTGATAGGATTATGCATTAAAGGAATGAGATTCCATGGCAAAATAAGGAAAAACATTACCTGTTTGGGGGAATTCTGGAAAAATAAATTTGAGTGGAATCTGATGGTGTTTGTTTCCATTCAAAATGATCCCAACTTTGAAAATAAAAATTAGCTTGTTTTTTTTTTTTAACTATTCAACTTTGAGCCTAGACTAGATAGTAACCTGCAAGAACCAATAATCTGGATATTGTTAATGCTTACTTAAATTCTTGAACATAAATAGACCTGGACAGGCCAGTAGCCATCAATGGAACAGAGACAGGAAAGTATGGTTTACCAGAAAGGTTGGGGACTTTTGACTCGAAAATGTGAAGAGCAGTTTAATACTAGTCTGCTGGTCCATGACAAGTCGGATGGAGCGAGGAGATTGGGCCCAGCTGTTCTTAATCTGCACTGAGGCCAGGCTTGGGGAGAAAAAGGGAAAACAATGTTAAACTGTAACAGGAGGGATAAGAAAGAAGTTTTTGATAATAACTGTTAAATGTTGGCTTGGTTGGGTAGTGTGATAAGTCTCCTTTTCTGGCAGCTGTCAAATTTTTCTGTTTTTACGAAATGTTCTTAAGTATGATTCCTTCAGGAGAAGGGGTTTGGAATAAAGGGCTCCTGAGAAGCCACTCCCTCTGTCCAGTTTCTCACTAAACACAATTAAGGAACCCGAGGAAAGATCGCTTCCCTCCCCTCCAGTTCACTCCTTCCACTACGCACTCGTTCAGCACGTTTATTGAGCAGCTACTATGAGCCCATCTCTGTGTTAAATTCTGTAAGATAGTCATCAGCCACAATCCGAAACTGATTGTGATTCCAGTATTTAAAAATGCATAAATGGGCACAGCTGGCCTCCAACGCTCGCGACATATTTCATCTGATACTCATCTGGGGGGTCGGGGGGAGCAATCCTCCCAGTTAAACATGGGGGTGGGATGAAGCGAGGGAACTGGTAGTGTTGGACTTAATGTTGATGTGCAGTAAGGTCAGAGCGTTTCAAGAGCAGTTTGACAATCAGAGAGCTTCCCTTATCGTGCTGACCACGGGATGTGAAATCTGCGTTGTAGACACTGTGTTACACATACCGTACCCCCACATGTCACCAGTGATTGCAGAATTTTACATGACAGAGACTGAGCTAAGTACCAAGTCTCTGTGTAAGTGGTAGGAGCTTTGGGAAGTAAGTATAAGATCAGGCTCTTCCCTTAACTAGTTTATAATCACGTTAGGAGAAGGTGTGTTCACATGACTGACGCCACAGTACAAGTGGTTGAGGGCTGAGTGGGTGTCACAGACAGCGGCGGTCACAGTTAAGACATGGTGACAATGGGAGTTGGGGGGTAGTTATGAATTTTTTAGAGAATTTTGAAATAGAGTTGGAATGTGAAGGGAGATAGTTGAGGGCATTGGGGCAGTTGATAGGGAAGGTAAGTGGTAGGTGCTTGAGAAAGGACAGAGGTGGGACTGCAGGATGGTCCTCCTTCACGGCTCTACTGGGAATGATGGTCACCTGATCTCAGGGGTGGAGACAGAATTGGGCCAGGTTGGGTCTGAGAAGTTTGTACTTTATCCCGGGGTGATATGAGCTAAGAAAGAGGTGATATGATAAGTGTTGGGAAATATTTTTGTAGATTTTGGTTTGCTTATGAGGTTTTTAAAATAATGTTTTTGTGTGTGTTTTTTTTTTAGTTACATAAATGATATAAGTTGATTAGAGAAAATTTGTAAATTACAGAAAAAAATGAAAAAAATAATCTTACTCATTGATAATCTGTGTGTGTGTGAACTTTAAAGTTATTTTTCTGTCTTTGAAATTCTGTGTTTTGCCTGTCGTACTATCTCCCTCTGTTGTTGCCTAGTTGTCCATCACTTGCGGCGTCCCTGCAGACCTGGGTTGGGTCCTTCCGTGAGCCAGGGCGAGTCTTCTCTCTGCACCCCAAGCACCTTGCAGGGAGGGTGAGGATGCATTGATGCACATGGATTTGAGTCATCCCTTAATAGAAGGCAGGGAGCGCCAGAGTCAGTGCGGGTGAACCGCCTCGCTGTGTACAGGGATGAGACGGAGCCCGGAGTGAACCGGGGATGAGTGGGCAGCTGGCACGCAGTGTTGAGCTGTGTGGGTGACAGATGACCAAAGGATTCTGAGTTGTGCTTTGACATGGACTAGCCCATAATTCTCAGCATCTCCCGGGAACTGTTAGAAATGCAAATAACTGAGGCACCACAAGCTAACAAGTCCTCCTAGCGATTCTCACAAACCCTCAAATTTGAGAACCGCTAGACGGGAACAGAGCCTGCAGGGCCGCGATGTTGAAGAGCGCGGCATCGGAAGGTGGAAAGCCCAAAGAGGTGTGGTCTCAGTGAGCATAACCGATGAGATGCCACAGTAGCTGAAATAGGAAAACTATGAAAATATTGTATTGTTACAGAGAGCATTAAATGTGCTACACATGGTCAAGGTCTATTTGTCTTTATAAATCACCGCCTTCCTGGTTTGAGCATTTAACTAGACTTACAATAGATTAATCCAGTGGTCGGCAAACTCGTTCGTCAACAGAGCCAAATACCAACAGTACAACGATTGAAATTTCTTTTGAGAGCCAAATTTTTTAAACTTAAACTATATAGGTAGGTACAGTGTTATTAACTTAATTAGGGTACTCCTAAGTTGGCCTTTGCTAAAAACGTCCTCAATCTGAGGGGTCGACCTCAGCGAATGTACCCCCACTTCTTCTAACGTCACTTCTTCAAAATAGACTCGCCCAGGCCGAAAACCGACTTCTGCGCATGGGCCACGCAGCTTCAATCGCACTGTACGCCCGCACGTGGTATTTTGTGGAAGAGCCACACTCAAGGGGCCAAAGAGCTGCATGTGGCTCTCGAGCCGCGGTTTGCCGACCACTGGATTAACCCAATGAGAATGTCCCCGCCCAGGTTCTTTCTCCCAGTCCACATGACTGCCTCCTGGCCTTTCCACTTGCTGTCTCACACTGGCCTCAGATCTCCAAGACCGCATGTGTGTATTATCTTTCCCTGCAAACCAACATCTGTGTGTGTGTCTCCCATTTCAGAGAACTGGTCTGATCCACTCAGTTACTCAAGTCAGTGATTCCTGGCTTATTTCTCACAAAATTTCTACCACTTCCGAGCTTTCAGAGGCACCAATCTTTCTCCATCCCCACTGATACCTTTCCAATTTAGACCATTAGTTTCTCACCGGCTCGTTTTAACAGTCAGCTGGTCTTTCGGCCCCAAACCCGTTCTCAGTGTAGCCAGAACAAGCTGTGTAAACGCGAATTTTATTCTTTTCTTACGGCCATTCCATGGCTCCCCATTACCATCTCGATAAACTAGGGCCTTAAGGAGGAGTCTCGTGCTTTTCTTCCCAACCTTATTTTTTGTCCTTGGACCTTCAGTCCTTGTCACCTGCTCTTCCCTCGGCCTGGACTAGCGTAGTGTGCTTACCTTCCTTCACCAGCCTGGCACCGCTCCCCCTTCAGGCGCAGAGGTGTTGCCCCGCCGTGAAACCTTTCTGCTCATAAGCATGATTCCCATCCCACATCACTTATCCTGTCTTCTTGCAATTGTCTGTTTGACATTTTACATAGCACGCTCCTACCCCCATCACCCCATTACATTACACTCTTCACAGGAGTTGCGGCAGGCTGCCATTCTTCCACTAGCTCCCACACATGAACTGCTAAGTAGAAGGAGCACAACAAACGCATGTTGAAATGAGTAGTCAGCAACGATCTGGATATGGGCATGTGAAACCGTTTTAAGGGATGGAAATTTGTATTTTCTACCCTTCACCCTCCCAGACATTTTTCTGTCCATCGATCCATTTACCTAGTTTTACAGGATGCATCCTGCGTGCCAGGCACTGAACTAGTTGCTAAGATTCAACTGTGACAAGACTCAGATAGTCTTTGCAATGGGCCTTGTCTTCTCGCGGAGGAAAGCAACCTTCAGAAGTAGTGTACGTCCAGTACAGAAAGGTCTAGGTAGAGGAAGAACAGCGAGAGGGGACAGCTAACCCAAGCTGGGCCAGTCGGGAGGAAGTGATGCCTCGCTCAGAACTTGAGAACTTAGGATGAGTTAAAGAATGGGAACGCACTGATCCCCGTGAAGGGAACAGGTAATAGATCGTCCCCTAGTGAGCAGAGAGGGGGCACTTATTCTAGAGGTCAAAGCATTAGGAAGGCAAGAAGCTGGAGGAGGCTTGAGTGTAGGATCACGGTGTGGGCAATGCCCCGAAGGAGTCAGAAGGCAGATACCCGCATTGGGTGTAATCCAGGGGAGACAAGAGCAGCACAAGTTCGGGAGAGGCTGTGGGATAGAGTAAGGGATGGGTTTGAAAAATGTTTTGGACAAAGAACAGGCCTTGGGGATTAATTAGATTTGTATAAGGAGCAAAGAGAACTCTGTCCTAACCCCCTCCTTTCTCTCCTGCAGTCCCTGACCAGTATGAGGCACGGATTTCACAGAACTTGCAGCCAAAATTCCCACTGCCCTCAGCTTAGAAGTCTTAACGGAGCTCCAGGAAGGGGGAACTGGTGAGGTTACCGGAATGTGAGAAGCATTCCTGTCATATATCTGGGTTCAGAGGAAAAGAGCACTAAACAACCTGTTATTTAGTAGCCACGTTTGTTTCCTGTATTTGGACTTCCTGCCCCTCAGTTATCTGGGATCCATGGGTAATTCCAAGTCTTCCTCCTGAAAAATGCTCTGATTGTAAAGATATTCCAATTTTAAGACATACAACTTTATTGTAGGATGTATTTTACAGTCCTTTTGACTTCTAACATTATATTTAACATCTTTTAGTAAAAGACATAAAGTAATAGAATTTGTGAACTGATCTTAGAATACCTTTTTGATAATAGTTCTCTTTTCTCCAAAAGTGTATGATGCATCTTAATAATGACATTTCTGCATTCATGGTGCTTTGTGCTAGTATTTATTTTCTGCAATCATGTGATAGAATAATGAACACTTACTACAAATCAACAAATGTCAGGTGCTGGCAAGGATGTGGAGCAAAGGGAACCCTAATACACTGCTGGTGGCAGTGCAGACTGGTGCAGCCATTATGGAAACAGGATGGAGTTTCCTCAAAAAATTAAAGATGGAACTGCCATTTGACCCAGTGATCCCACTTCTAGGAATATATATCCTAAGAAACCCAAAACACCAATCAGAAAGAATGTATGCACCCTATGTTCATAGCAGCACTATTTGCAATAGCTAAGATCTGGGAACAGCCCCAGTGCCCATCCGTAATTGAGTGGATTAAAAAGCTGTGGTACATTTACACCACAGAATACTATGCAGCAGTAAAAAAGAAGGATCTCTTACCCTTTGAGGCAGCATGGAGGGACCAGGAGAGTATTATGCTAAGTGAAATAAGCCAGTCAGAGATACTTGTCGACAAGTATCACATGATCTTACTCATATGAGGAATCTAATGAACAAAATAAACTGTTGAACAAAATAGATCCAGAGACATAGAAGCATGGGACTTTCGAACCTCAGGAATGGATGGGGAGGGTGGGGGGAGACGAACCGAAGAACTTGTATGCATATATACATAACCTATGGACACAGACAATAGTGTGGCAAAGGGTGGGGGCAGGTTAGATGGGGTCAGTGAGGGGGGAAAAAGGGACATATGTAATACTTTCAAGAATAAAGATTTTTAAAAAAATAAAAATAAACTTATTTTTTTCTCCTACTTTCCTTTATAAATATGTAGGAGATTAAATGACTTATTGAAAAGTATGCCTTTGGAGTCAGTAGAAGTGCTGGGTGTTAAACTGAGGCCTTGACTTACCATTCATTGCAGTGTTCCACATAATTCATTGTATTTATTAAGTGCATATATGTCCCATTAGCCATGCTATTATTCAGCCTTTTACTTAGCAATTATTGCTAAAACCTGTTATTCCCTTGATGAGGAGGGCCAAAAGCGAAAAGAAAAAAACAGGAAAGAAAGGAGGGAGAAGGACATGTGAGGAGAAAGAGAAAGAAGTTCCCAGTAAGAGGTGACTGCTCAGTTTGGACTCGCTGCAAAGGTGTGTCCTGTCTTGTATATCCCAGTTTCCCGGGCATTGGTTGCGGAGACGGTACAAGGTTGTCTGTGTCTGATGATGTTTCCTAATCGTCCTTTCTCCTAGAGCTCTTTGGAGAAGGCATGGCTTCCAGAGAAGACAAAGCACAGAGCACACACAGGGTGCTGAGAATCAGTCAGCTGGATGCACTGGAACTGAACAAGGCCCTGGAGCAGCTGGTTTGGTCCCAGGTCACTCAGTGCTTCCATGGGTTCCAGCCCGGGCTGCTGGCCCGCTTTGAACCTGAGCTGAAAGCCCTCCTGTGGCTTTTCTTGTGGCGATTCACCGTTTACTCCAAAAACGCCACAGTGGGCCAGTCGATTTTAAATATTCAGTACAAAAACGACTTCTCCACGACCCTGAGATACCAGCCCCCGAGTAAGAACCAGAAGCTCTGGTACGCTGCCTGCACGATCGGCGGGAAGTGGTTGGAAGAACGCTGCTACGATCTTTTTCGAAACCATCACTTAGCCTCGTTCGGGAAAGCCAAGCAGTACCTGAACATGGCGGTGGGCCTGGTGCAGTTAGGGAGCCTGATTAACTTCCTGATTTTCCTCCAGAAGGGCAAGTTTGCCACTTTGACGGAACGCCTGCTGGGCATCCGCTCTGTGTTCTGCAAGCCCCAGCACGTGCGTGAGGTTGGCTTCGAGTACATGAACAGGGAGCTGCTCTGGCACGGCTTCGCGGAGTTCCTCATTTTCCTCTTACCGCTCATCAACACCCAGAAGTTGAAGGCCAAGTTATCTTCGTGGTGCATCCCTCTCGCCGGTGCTCCTGACAGCGACAGCTCCTTGGCCAGCAGCGGCAAGCAGTGCGCTCTGTGCGGGGAGTGGCCCACCATGCCCCACACGATCGGCTGTGAGCACATCTTCTGTTACTACTGCGTGAAGAGCAGCTTCCTGTTCGACATGTTCTTCACCTGCCCTAAGTGTGGCGCAGAGGTGCACAGTGTGCAGCCACTGAAGTCAGGCATCGAGGTGTCCGAAGTGAATGCTCTTTAGAAACTAAAAATGGTTTTCTCTGCAGAAAACTGTCTTGTGTTGAAATCCTTAGGATTAGTCACCCTGAGCATACCATTTAGGTGTCTTTTATGAGAACATGTGCTTCTCAGCCACTGTGTTCTGTTCCTTGCCAGACCTGACTAAAATCTAATCACTGGGACCCATGGGTTTCTGAGTATATTCTGTGAATGGTAATGTGTTATTTTCTTTAATGATTGCATTCAGTGTTTAATGTCAGGAGTAATGGGCAGCTTTTGTCAGATGCCTACGAACAATGCTCCTTCACTTTGTACTTCCTAGAACAAGGTTAGCCTCTGAAAATAAAAAGTTTTGAAGACTGGGATGAGCGTGCCTTTATTTCCAGAGATGGTGTTATAACATAATCTGACAGTGATTAGACCATGGTGTTTTGGGTTTTTTGTTTGTTTGTTTTTAATATATTTTTATTGAATTCAGAGAGGAAGGGAGAGGGGGAGAGAGAGAGAGAGAGAGAGAGATAGAAACATCAATGATGAGAGAGAATCACTGATCGGCTGCCTCCTACGTGTCCCCAACTGAGGATTCAGCCCAGGTATGTGCCCTGACCAGGAATTGAACCGTGCCCTCCTGGTTCATAGGGTGATGTTCAACCACCTGAGGCATGCCATCCGGCCAGACCCTGTTGTTTTAAACCTGATCTGATGGCCCACTCGTAATTGTAAGCTTTTCTCTGAAGCCAGTTTTTAAGGGGTTCAGTGGGCTCTGTTCTCGGGCGGAATGGTGGCCCCCGGAAGCTGAAGACTTTATGTCCTGCAAGCTCTCTGTCCCTCCCCCCCCCCAACCCCCCCCGAATAAGAGCTCCTTGCCTGGCCACTCAGCAAAGCAGGGGGATCACTGGACCAGGATGGAAAATCCTTCCCATTTCTCAATGTGGGTGACATCCCTCACCTAAACCACATGATCCTGAAGTAGGAGGGGAGGCAGGTCGCCACAGGGCACTGAGGTGCTGGTTCAAGGATGGTGGGTGATGGGCAGGTAGACATAATAAATCGCTCCTGTACTTCCCAAATTTTCTACAATAAGCATGTCATACTTTTTAATTACATCAATACAAGTTATTTCTTTAAAATCTGATGGCCAGTGTTATTTCAGTTAAATCCAAAGAGAAAACATCTGCATAGCTAGGAAACCGTCTTTTACAAATGTGAATTTAGGACATAGGAGGCCCTGTGAACCCTAGGGTTCCTTTTTGTGTGTTATAATAAATAGAGCCTGCCTTTATGGCCACCCACAGCTGTTGAAAAAGTCTGAATTATTTCATACATTTTTAAGTTAGATACTAAGTCTGACTCCATGTAGTATAGAACTTTTTTTAACCACTTAGAAGTAGCTAGGCAACAAAAAGGTAGAAAGTCCCCATTCCCTCTTCCAGAAGTACTTGTATGTATAAGTAAATGTACAGTATTTATAAATGTGGTTTGATTACCATAAAATACCTAGAACTGGTACACCAGAGCAAAACAGTCGACATGAATACGTTGTATTATCAATTTGCCTAAGCCTGTAAGATGACAATATTTCCTCAACTAAGAGTCAAGACACAGGGCCTGACCCAGGATTTTGTATGCCTTCCAGATGTGGACACAGAAATGCTGACATTTCTGAGTATTTTTATGGTTCAGTTGCCAATAAGACATAATGCAAACTTGAACTTCAGCTGAGACTTTATCTAAATAGTCATAAATCTGCATTAGTGGAGCCAGAGGCTTTACTGTTCTGAGAGATGTCCAGGAGGGGTTCCTGCTAAACACATCTCACTTCACAGTCAGAAATGTTGAGAATCCTCTCCTGAAAGCCTCTATTCTTTTAAATCCACACCCATCTGTAAGAATTCCCTTTTAGTTAACAAAAATTATAAAATAATACACTATGCTGAATTGCTTTGAAAAGGCTTAGTTCCAGACCAAATGCAAAGGGCAAATAAATTCTTTTAGAGCAAAACCCCTATCCAATATTGCATGCATTATTTCTTAATGCCACTTCTCAAACCTACTAGAATATGCCTTAGTTTCAACTAGATGTCTGTCTTGCAAAATAGACTGACGCTATGTGTGTGTGTGTGTGTGTGTGTGTGTGTGTGTGTGTGTGTCCCTACAGCCAAAAGCAATGACTACCACAATGTTTGAAGAAGACAAGAGGGCCCTGCCAGTGTGGCTCAGGGGTTGAGTGTCGACCCATGCACCAAGAGGTCACCAGTTGGATTCCTGGTCAGGGCACATACCTGGGTTGTGGGCTGTGTCCCCAGTAGGGGGCATGCAGGAGGCAGCTGATCGATGTTGATGTTTCTCTCTCCTCAATGTTTTTATTTCTATTTTTTAAAAACATTTTTTTTTTATTCATTTCAGAGAGGAAGTGAGAGGGAAAGAGAGATAGAAACATCAATGATGAGAGAGAATCATTGATTGGCTGCCTTCTGCACACCCCCTACAGGGAATCAAGCCATGACCTGGTTTCATAGGTTGATGCTCAACCACTGAGCTATGCCGGCTGGGTCTAGCTCAGCCGTGGGCAAACTAAAAAAAAAAAAAAAAAGACTACCCTTTTATGTAATGATGTTTACTTTGAATTTATATTAGTTCACACAAACACTCCATCCATGCTTTTGTTCTGGCCCTCCAGTCCAGTTTAAGAACCCATTGTGGCCGAAACCATTTTGGCTCAGTGGATAGAGCGTCGGCCTGTGGACTGAAAGGTCCCAGGTTCGATTCCGGTCAAGGGCATGTACCTTGGTTGCGGGCACATCCCCAGGGGAGGGTGTGCAGGAGGCAGCTGATCGATGTTTCTCTCTCATCCATGTTTCTAACTCTCTCCCATCTCTCTCCCTTCCTCTCTGTAAAAAAAAAAAAAAATCAATAAAATATATTTAAAAAAAAAAAAAGAACCCATTGTGGCCCTTGAGTCAAAAAGTTTGCCCACCCCTGGTCTAGCTCCACTTTTTCTTTTTTTTCTTTTTTAAAGAGGGGTGAATACCTTTAAAAAAAAGACAAGAGGGTTTGAGGTTTGATTAGGAAGGCCTCCCAAATAAATGAGCAGGGCAGCTGATGGAATTGTGGGGACACTTCCCCACGCAGTTCTGTGACAGTGCGGCGAGGCCTGCAGTCCCAGTTTGCAGTGTATCTTAGAGTGCCGTTTTTAATTTAAAATGTTCTATGGCGTTCTTGCTTTGAGGGAAAACACAGTTGGAATTCAGGAGCACAATAAGAGAATTAATAACTTTTCTTTGAAAATACATGCAATTTTGGAGCTGTCAATTTCAGCTATGTCTCTTTAAATACTTTTTCCTCTCGAATCCAACTGGGTAGATGAGATTTTTTTTTTTAATTCCATTATAGAAGTAATAGCCCTGTTTTGGTGTTTTGTAAGCAGATAATATTCTGCTGGTGACTGTCTTTGCAGTAATGCATGGCTCTGAATTCTGAATTCTATTATTTTACATCTCCAGCAGCTTAAAGTGTATTTTTTATAAACAGCAAACTTCACCTCATAAAAATTCATTACATAGGGTATAAACAAGTGCTTTTCTTTCTAGTCATTGGCGGTAAGTGATTCATCAGTTTTCCACAGAAAACCAATTTCATTGTAGATGTTCTATAATTTCCAATCTCCCTGAATTGTGGAACCATAACACACAATCCCAATGCAAGGAAGGGAAGGAATTTTTTTCTTTTCTTTTTAAGGTCTGTGCTTAGTCTCCTTAATAGGATTGAATATCATTTGCCATCTCATCAATTTTATTTTTAAAAATTAAGTGATCAGTCGCTTTTTCTTACCTGTACATGTTGTTTCCACATGTGGATGGATAGCTGGTAGAAAACTCCAAACCCCATGCTACCTGATGGCTAAAAACAGTAACATTCACTCCTTTCTCCCAGGCAAACTAGAAATACTAAGAAAAGCAAAAATTTGTCCCCTGGCGAAATCCTTCCTTTTTACTGTTTACTTTCAAATCTTTTCATCTCCATGGTGAAGGAGGAGTGGAGGGGGCTGTGGAAATCAGAAAATGTTCACCTTCTATCACCAGGGACCTCCTGGGAGTGATCCCTGGGAAAATTACCCCCACCAACATTGGAATTTAGTTTTGTCCAGTGTTTCAAAGTTGACTGATGGAAAATGGGCATTCCAGTATAAAATAGGGAGTTAAATCCGGCTGGTGTGGCTCAGTGGTTGGGCATCAACCTGTGAACCAGGAGGTCAGGGTTGGATTCCTGATTAGGGACACATGTCCAGGTTTCACTTGTAGGGGGAATGCAGAAGGAAGCCAATCTAATATTCTCATTGATGTCTCTGTCCTCCTCTCTGTCTCCCTTTATCTCTCTGCAATCAATAAAAACATAAAAAAAAAAAAATACAGAGTTAAGCCCTGGCTGGTTTGGCCCAGTGGATAGAGCATCAGCCTGCAGACTGAAGGGTCCCAGGTTCGATTCCAGTTAAGGGCACATGCCTGGGTTGTGGGCTTGATCCCCAGTGGGGGGCATGCAGGAATCAGCCAATCAATGGTTTGCCCTCATCATTGATGTTTCTATCTCTCCCTCTCCCTTCTTCTCTGAAATCAATACAAAATATATTTTAAAAAATACGGAGTTAAGAGGGAAGAAATGCCTGCAGATACAGTGACGGTCTAAGGCAGTGGTTCTCAACCTTCTGGCCCTTTAAATACAGTTCCTCATGTTGTGACCCAACCATAAAATTGTTTTTGTTGCTAATTCATAACTGTAATGTTGCTACTCTTAGGAATCGTCATGTAAATATCTGATATGCCGGATGGTCTTAGGCGACCCCTGTGAAAGGGCCGTTCGACCGCCAAAGGGGTCGCGACCCACAGGTTGAGAACCGCTAGTCTAAGGCCATCTATGATAAATGAAAATTTCTCAGAAATGCCGACAAGGAAAAGGTTAAACATCTCCTAAAGCCTTAGGAAGTTAAAGTCCAGTCTTTTTCAAAACACCTCAGTCTTTGGATTGAGAGGTTGAATCAAAAGTACGGTAATTGAATTGACTAACAAAGTTATGAGGTATTGCAAGGGTGAAGTGACGGATTCTCAAGATAACTTGAACGTGAAGGTGATCCTTCTTCACCCCTCCGCCTGCCACTACTCTGGTTACCCACATATTTCCTCTAATGAGCTACATAAGGAGGGTCTGCGGACTTGCCTCTGCAGAACCATTCTTATGCAGAGGCCCCGAGGGTGTTTTGAGAAATATATCTGCCCCTACTTCTGCCTTGGTGCCTGGAATTCCATCCTCGGTGGAGAATAGTATGTCCCTAAGGGCACAGCCTTCTCTCTACTCCCTGAAATCGCATGGG